AATGTATTACTTGGCTTTAATTTGAGTATGTTTTTCGCGTTGGAACGAATTATTTGGTTTTACATGTAATCGTATGGGAAAAGATGATCCACCTTACGACATTTTCATGATACGATCTCAGTTTCGGAACGGATTAATTTCGTATCCTGAGGTACCACTGTACTTTAAAGCTATACATGAATATTATCAGGCTAGAAACGACTATAATATTAATAATTTATAAGACAATTTGGCACTAGAGTTAGGTGTTAGGTGCCATCTCTTGATAAATTTAATAATTACAATTTTAATTAAATAATTTAAGTTCTAAATTCATGATGGGCAAAGAAAAAAGCAGTTTTAGTGCCCACAGGACAGAGTCAAAGGATGAAAAAAAAAAAATCACACAGGTTGTAATAAAAATTAAAACTTACAGTAAACTCCTGCTAACTTGGACTAATAGGGGATAAAGATTGTCAGAGATTTTACAAAAAGTCTGAGTTAGCAGGGTGTCATAACAGATTAACTGTACATTTGACACTGTTTGAACTATTAACAATTATATTCAATATAAGAGTATCATAAAATATTCATAATGAACTTTACTAATTAGTATTTATTGTTCTTTTAACTTAAGGATATTGTATCTCAAATGATATATATTTATCAAATTTTCAATAAACACTATAACTAAATTTAGGATTAACCCTTTTGCTATTGTGAATATCCTATCTCATTTTAATATTAATTCTATTTACATTAACAAAATTATTAAATTTATATAAATAACCAACAAATCTGTTAATAGCAGGAGCAAAAATTTTTAGATCAGAATGCTTTCATCTTTTTCATATTTAAAGTACTCTTCATTCTATTACAATTAAAAGAATTAGAATTTGTTAAACATGAAAGAGAGAGAACATTATTTTAGAGAGATTTGAAAAAGCATCAAAAATCTTTGCAACAACATTCTGTGTTCTCAACATTTAACAATCACAATTCATTTCAATTGTAATTGATTGAAGAATGTTCATGTATTTTTAAATTTCCCTTTCTCTAAAGTATTTTTTTTAAAATCTCTAAAATCATTTCCTTTTAACAAGAACTTGTTTGAGTGTTCTTCCTAAAGTTTTCAAGATTCTTGAAAAATAAAAAACTACTTTTCATTATTATTAAGTTCTTGAAATCATAATTAGTATTATTTTATTGACAGGCAGTATTGTATAAGCAGAATACTCAGTGTGATTCAGAAAAATATTGATACAGTTCCAATTTCAGACCAAACATATCTTTATACTTGCTCTCTAAAAGAGTTTTGTTATCTTGTCAAATCTCTTATCTGAAATCAGGATTTTGGATTAACAATATTTATATTTTACTTTTTTAATGAAATATATTTGATTCATTTTTGTTTATTTTGTATCAAATTTATTATGTTTTTGTAATAATATTTTATAGTAGGAATTTCATGTAATTATAAGTTTTATTAATAAATTTCAATAATAAATAAGTTTTATTATTGAAGTTAAATATGTTTTATTATTATTATTAATTTTAAAATTTTATATAAAATTAGCATTTATAAAATAATTAAATTTCTATTAACTAACCTCTCAATAATTCCTGAGATACAAAATCTGCTGCCCGGTAAAATTGCATTTTAATAAACACATCTAGTAAATGAGCAACAGTAGGTCTTTTTCTGCCAGAATGATACCAGTGTTTTAACAAAGCATTTCCTGGACTATTACCTGGGCGATTCCATTGCAGTTCTAAGTTTCTATATTAAAATATTTATCATAGTAATTATAATTAATTACACTTGAATATTAAAATACTAAAATCAACTTATTAGTGCAAAGTATTTTACAAATTTTTGTTAATAATGTATACGTTATAGTTAAAAATATTGATCTAGTAAATTGTATGCTATTGAATAATAATTTTTTATAAGGAGTACTTTAATAAGTTAATTTATGCATAAATTAAAGATATTAACGCTTTCAAATTATTATTTTACTGTCAAAAATATACACAAAAGTTAATTTCAACAACGTTTAAAATATAATATAAATCACTGTATAAATCTTAATGCCAAAAATACACTAAGTACTGCCTGATTTTTATTAGTATATTTATGCTATTTTTAATTAACTTTGATTGATTTCATTAATTTTCACATTGCATACTTATACATTCTCACTGTTGTCAGTCTGTCCTTCGTTAATTTCGGGAATGGAGTTATAGACAAATATTGAGATCAGATATAGAGTTTAGGGCCAGACACCTCAATTAACTATATACAAACTTCCAGTCTGTACTGGAAGTCACTTAATCTTTTAAATTAAAATATAATTAGAACTGCAGCTTGTCACTGTGACAATGTCACAATAATATACATTTGATTTTTAGCATCATAATTTAGTCTAAAGATAAGGAATTATGCTGCTATATTCAATAATTAATAATTATAGATTAATTTTGAATTTAATCAAATAATTTAGAAAATTCTAGAAGGAAACATCAAACCAAGCAGGTGCATAGTCTTGAGTTACACAAGTAGCAACACAAACATGAAGAGTATACAATGGTACAAACTCATATCAATAAAGCCATTAAGACTATCAGCAAATGGTCCACAATGGGATGGATCTGTGACAAGCAATAGGGTCCAATACATCCAGGACAGCCTGCCAATAAAAATTTTTGGAATTGCTCACTTGGATTTAATCCTAGGTCCCCAGATTAGTAAGCTGATGCCTTAACCACTCAGCCATCCATCCAGCCCAGTAAAACCATTCATTGAATGAACTCATATATCTGTGTTGCTATATAATTTGACAAGACATCCACGACTCAAATCTGCAATCCTTACACACTAAACAAGCATGTTATCAATTACGTTATGTGAATTTCCAATCCAAATATAACTGGTAACCAGTTATGATATTTATTATACATGTTCAATTATAAATTAATAGGATATTCTTACATTTTACTCATTCAAAAATTGTTTTTTATTGAATATAAAAAACAGTTAGAATATAAAATTAAAAAATACCTGATATTATCATAAGATAAAAGAGGTTCTCCTTCCTTATCTAAATTTGGCAACATACTTGCAAATTCTTTCCAGACATCATTGTTTGAACTTAATAAACCAACAAGTCTATTATGAGCCCAATAGGGCAAATGACGAAGTTCCGTGTTTGCAGAAATAGTCTCACCTTTACTACTTTGAAATGTCAAATTTGTATTAGTACTAAAGTTGGGATGCATAATTATCTGAAATATAAATAAAAATTTATTTAACAAAAGCAATATTTATCATATAATTATAATATGTAAAATTGAAATAATTAAGATTAGTAAAGACTTGAGGATATTTTAGTATCTGGTATATGTCAACAAGCCAAAACCATCACAATTAAACTTTTCATTTGGTCAACCTGGACCAATTGCTTTTTTAACCATGGGCCAACAAATATCAATCATTTTATTTAATGCTCTTTTTGAGGGTGGCTAGGGACAACATTTGACCACTAAAGAGAAGGGTTTAATTAATTGCACACGTGGTTTATGTATGAATCGTAAAAACAGAAAAAAAATAAAACTATTAATTTACTTCATTGGCGATGATACATACAAAATACACACGTTTCAATTTATATATACACTTGTATTATCTCTTAATTATACCTACTATTATTATAAAAACTTTTAGATATCAATTTCGATTTCAAAACAGTCAACTTAAAACATTGTTGCCAACTTAAATGATATATAAAAAAAATATATAGTACATCTATTTTCATTTTTGTTTATAATTTATTACTTTCATTACAACACAGTTTAATAAAATATAGTTAATTTTATTTCGTTTTATCTAGCATACATTACACACAATAAATATCACAACGAACATTTTTGATCGAGTACAATACGGTTGGACATACACGTACTATATGCTATCCTGCGGCAGACTTTTCTATACGTTCTAAGGCGTCATAGTTGCATAGGGCACGAATTTCGACGACAGAAAAAGACAAGAGGTCTCACCGAGATTCGAACTCGGATCGCTGGATTCAAAGTCCAGAGTGCTTACCGTTACACTATGAGACCTCCGCCTAAGCCGCTTCTCGAAAGCCCATTTATAAGCCAATCAGAGTGCCAACTGACATTACTTGGTTCGTTCGTCACATGCAACGGAAATTTGAGTGTCGCAAAAGGGATATATTATTGTCCTTCGTCGTATATCGTGTAGGGCGGAACATCCTCGCCTTTCTTCGCGTTAACTAATTTGATGGGCGTCGTTCAACGATTCGGCTGAAATTCGTTAAGTATTTTCGATCGCACGCTGTCTTTCGTAGTGGAAATCGCGACGTTCTCCAACTGACACTTGCATTGCACGATTTGGTGCAATGCAAGTGTCAGTATTGTGCCTCTGTGGTGCGAGCGCCGTGACCGCTTCCGATAAAAACACGCTTGAAACGAATTAGTGATTCGATTATTTAGACACCGATCACGGACAGCCATCGACAATTTACGATCCGTTTGCTTTCCACACGACGAAACGAAACACGTTTCTTAAATTCTTTTTCACCATGTCCGCCGACCTCAACCGTCATTCTGTTCGCGACAGATTTGTGGCAACAGCTTCGCTTTTTAACGAGAAAGTGTAGACGGAGAGACTTCCATTATCGGCAACAACAGATGCGGCGATATCTTTACGCGATAGTCGATAAGGCAATCTGCAATGCATTAAGGTGATATGCGGCAGGCGGATCTGGCGAGGTCCCATGGTGTAATGGTTAGCACTCTGGACTCTGAATCCAGTGATCCGAGTTCAAATCTCGGTGGGGCCTTTTTTTTCTTGGCCCTGTCATCGTTCACGCAATTGAAGGCGACAGCGACAGTAGAATTCACAAACTTCTTTTGCTTTGAATTTAGAACAGAAACTGTGCTTCACGCAAGTGCAGAGTTTCTGCTCGACGCTTTGCAACGTTTCCATATGTTTATTCTACTTCAGCGACGGTTTCAAAACGGAATTCAACATGTTGCAAAGTTGTGACCCAATTAGCATTATAGTTTCGAATCACAAAATGTCTTCCGGGCGCTTACGTCACACTAAAATAGACATTTTCAATCAACCGCTCATAACAAAAGTTCGTGTCAGGAGTGGGATTCGAACCCACGCCCACTATCGTGGACCAGAATGCACGCTCCCGCAATTACAGGAAGGGTCTACCTTGAGTCTGGCGCGTTAGACCGCTCGGCCATCCTGACGTTATTCTGCGATTACGATTGATGCCTAATCAATGCGGAATATTCATTTCTCGTTATGTTCAAGCAGTTTTATGACAGGCCGACGTTTTACTAACTAAACGATGATTCAATTGCAATTGTTTAGTTTACGGAATTTCGAACGAAGTTATCACATGTTTTGTTTCTTACAAGAAATGAAATTTCCCCGGACTGAGTAATGACGTCGACGTTAAATTACGAGTCGTTTTTCCATTTTGATACCAGACTATTGGAATTAGGGGCGGGAGGTCCCGATTAACTATACGTCAACTTCTAATGCATGACAGAAGTCGCTTTATTTCAATTCAAAACTCTTTTCTTGAGAGGACAGGCCCCAATCTATTGCTAACAGGAAAAGTATGATGTACGGGAGCGAGGCAGCACATTACTAATTTGAGATTGAGAGAATATATTTTAAATTAAATAAATTTAAGATACGGTGAAACAAAAATTGCTCGGTGTATGTGTAAATTTACATCTTTATTTTCAGTTGTTAAATATTATAAAGATTTGAGAACAATTTTAAAAAGTTGTTAAATTGTGTTTCTTTTTTTCTTTGTTGATTGTTTGTGTATTTTTTACAGTTGGAAAAGGCCAGTGGCCATAGTGTCGTCTACTTTAAATAAATAAAATACACAAGAACCGTCTAAGAAAATCACACGACTTATCAATAACCAACTTTTAAGGTAAAGTATTGACTTCAGTAAGATTTCAGCTAAAAACATTTATACATCATAGGAGATTTTTAATTAATCTACTTAAAATAATTTCTCCTAATCTTTCGTTATGAATCGTGTACATTTTCTTCTGCTTTGATTTTCGGTTTAATTGTTAGAAAAATTATTTCAACTTTAATTATAAATTAGTCCAAAAATAAAACGTGCGCATATAATATTTGGACTGATACACGTAGTCAATTAATATAAAGTTTAAAAGTTTTATTAAGTAAAAGTTTATATACACATTTAATTGTTCAAGATAATTATAATTGTGGCTTAGACATATGCTAACTGCGATATTTCCCTTTTGTTTTTATTCGGTTGTCCAGTGTTGACACGCACGTTGCTGGCGAAAATCCATTATTTTCCGGTCAGAATTTCATCGTCAGTTGAGAGATTTCAAACGACCGAAGACGGTGCTAAGTTGTCACCGTCGACTTTAATTAACTTAATTAATTAAGTGGAAGAACACGTCCGTCGTAAGCGATGACGAAGGACATGTATCATTCCAAGAACCGTCAGCAGGAAAGGGAAGACGCCAAACCGCCATTAAAAGTCACGTCCGGTCATTAGGTCATAGCCAGGTAAAAGTCCATATCCGGGTAAAAAAAGTCACAATCGGGGGGAAGTCACATCCGGTGAGAAGACCTTGGAGATTTATTTCTTCTAGAAGAAGATCTTCATTCACCAAAGCTTCTTTTTCCTCTTTTTCAGAATCGATTTACACTCCTCTTGCAGTCGTTCCTCGCGTGCCTGTCTCTGCACCGACCATTCCGGAACTTCTGGATATCTCTGTTCCAGGTAATCGATGACAGACAACGTGCTCTCATCGGGAATGACGACAATCACCCGTTTCTTGTCGGGTTCACCAGATTTCTCCTTCGCACCCGCCAGCACTTCTTTCGGACGCACGCGAATCACTCTAATTGAAGAGGAAGACGTTTCTGATGTCGAGGAGCTATCCTCTTCACTCTCTCCTCCAGAGGTATTCCAATTCTTCAACGCTTTGAAATGATCCATTCTGCAAGCGAAAAACAAACGAGTATTAAATATTGTAGAACGAGCGTTAAATTATGACATTATTAAAAAATGAAATAAAAATTTAATACGATAGAAAACGGTCGTTTTAAGTACAAGAAAAATTCTAATCACAGATGAATATAAAGTTGAAATGGAATAATAAACGAAAACGTTAAAATTATTCATTCATTTAATACGATAGAAAACGGTCGTTTTAAGTATAAGAAAAATTCTAATCACAAATGAATATAAAGTTGTAATGGAATAATAAACGAAAACNCTTTCGGACGCACGCGAATCACTCGAACTGAAGAGGAAGACGATCCTGAAGTCGAGGAGCTCTCCTCTGGACTCTCACCTCCAGATATATCCCATTTCTTCAGCGCTTTAAAATTATCCATCCTGCAAGCAAAAATACAAACCGAGTATTAAATATTGTACAACGAGCATTAAATAAAGACAATATTAAAAAATGAAATGAAAATTTAATAGCATAAATACGATAGAAAATGGTCGTTTTAAGTACAAGAAGAATTCTAATCACAAATAAATATATAAAGTTGTAATGGAATAATAAACGAAAACGTTAAAATTATTCATTCAATTATTATGTATTAAATATATTATAATAATATCAGTTATATGGTTAATAAAAGTCATGCTGTTCTGTTGATTGTCATTAAAACTAATGAAAATATTCTAGAAGAAATTAATAATGAATAAACTCATGTATTCTAATTCATTAAAGGTTAGATTAATTATAATAATCTCATATGGGATGCAATGTGTACGCATATGTAATATACACACACAAAATTATAACGGGAAACGACAGAATTTATTATTCGTGTTTGCTTTAACAATTCGATTCGATTGACGAAAATTAACAATGAAAAGATTGAATGCATTTTCCCAAAGTAAGTCAAATGCTCGATTTTTCTCTTCGAAAACAATTGTTATCGAAATATTCGTTGTGGGAAAATTATCGCTGCTAATCGTGACTTTCCGCTTAACAATGTTAAAAACACCTAAATCTATAACGATCAGGCACTAAACTTACCCAAAATTATCGCTTCAACTACAGCAAAACGCAGAAAACATTCAAAACAATTCACTAAATCGCATTCCAACAAAGCAAAAGACAATTGTCGAAATTCTATTGTTGCGTCGCGACTCAGTTTGATGTTAAAAAATTCGATTATTTGACAGAATTTCGTCTGTCTTTCTATAGCAACGGACCATTCTGCTTTTTGTCTGTAGTCTTTCACTCATGCCCACAGAGACCAAGTGTAATCCATTTTGTTACAGTCAGGATGTTCGAAGACGCTCATAAACTAAGTCGACTTGAGTAGGATTCGACTTAAATTGAGCAATGCTTAAATCTCCTGGAACTGTTGTTTTTAAATTGTTGTTGGGCTGCAATTTGAACCCATTGTAGATCTATAAATGCCCATTGTCATACACCTGTCTAGCTTTCCTTAATCTTGAGAACGCAGTTAGGTATATAAAAGTCGAGATCAGATATGAAAAAATTAGGAGTTGATTGCATCGGAAAGTTCATATATAGTTAATCTTTCGATTAACTATATATAAACTTTCGATGCAAAGCGGAAGTCACCTTATTTCCATTCAAAACAT